TCGCAGACACGTTGTCTGTCTGTGGGCCGACTTGTTGATTGTCTGTAGCCTATTGTGTTGCAATGAGTCGGCCTACTTGTTGGAAGTGGGTTGATGGACGTTTTAGAAGTGGGTTGGCCCACATTTTGAAAGTGCGTCGGCCAACGTGTTGGAAGCGTTTCGGCCGACGTGTTAAAGGTGTGGCAACCTACGCGTTAGAGGACTGTCGAGTGAGAAGACTGTCAGCCGACGTGTTCGAATATAGGTTGCATGGCAGGACCAATAGACTATTTTTCCCATGGGAAAAAAATTTCTTTCTTGTGCAAAATATTTTCATTGTTCCTGCCATGCAACATGGGTGCCATGCAAAATCTCTTTTCTAGAAATTGTCGCCCTAATACAGTGTTGCGATCTCATTGTGGGATAAGAACAGTTTACGAACAATTTGCGATTTCCCAAAAATGTGCTAGCAGAAATTAGTGAGCCGTCGATTTTACCTAATATACTTTCGTCCCTACACTTTTGAATAAAGATCCGATGTTTATTAATGAAGTTAGGGAAATTGGAAACGTTCACAAACCTGGAAGAAATCCTGGTACATCCACAAACGTGATAATGGGGATGTTAAATGCGTCACAAAAACGGACAAACCGCGCTCCCTTAACAGAGGCGTTGATGTCCAAGCAACCTGAGATAGAACAACAAATCAAAAATTGAGGAGATAATAATAACAATGATAATAATAATTGAAAAATAAATAATAACAATAACAAAACTATTACAGAGAGACATTTTCGTCTAGTCGCGAGCGTGGGACAAAGAAAAATTCTGCGTCCCAATGAAGAATTGAACCTCGGACCTTTCGATCCTGGTAGTATGCAGGACACGTGTCATATATGAACTTCCCAGTGGGCCTTGCTCGCCATAGAGTCTCCGTGGCTCAGTGCTAGAGCATCGGAGCGCGGAATCTGAATTCTCATGGGGACTCTGAATTCTTTTTTGTTCCATTATCGCGACTAGACGAAAAACATCTTTCTATATTTCTTTACCGAGCTAAAACTTACTAACTTTCTTACTCTTAGCAAAATAAAATTATTTGAGCGGTATATAATAGGGTAACGAACCTAGAGTCTAAGAACGCTCTTCCGTGACAAAAATCAACAAACAAAGTAAAGCTGCAGTTTTCATGCATAATCTGATCTCCTTCGATCTTCGTGGCGCAAGCCAAAAATTGTACTTGCCGAAACCAAGAACTGACTTCCTGAAGCGTAGCTTCAGTATTAGCGGAGCTTCTCTTTGGAACGATCTTCCTGAGGATATTCGCACTATTACATCTCTACGCATCTTCAAGAGAAGAATTGATAAATTGCTCTCTGTATTGGGATCCCACAAGGCAAATATGTAAACCAGTTAACAGAAAATTTTACTTACGATTAATTTCTTCTTTGTTTTCTATTGCCATACTGATATTTTTACCGTGTTTTAAATAAAGATTTCATTCATTCATTCCAATATGATTGGTTGGGACACACAAGATTAAAACTACAGAAAAGAAATCTGAGAGGTGCATGGTTTTCTAAGTTCAAATGTTCTAGGAAACGTTGATTGGCTCTCACCAGCTGCTTCCGTAGGTTGATTACCAACAACCCCTACAGTTCGTCCATTCATTCGTCCAAAACCAACCACAATGTTTTTAGCGTAATCAGGCGAGATCTCAAAGAATTCACCGTCATCTACAATCTGAGGAAAGAAAAGTGATATTCAGTTGAAGGAAGTCTGGGGGCTGCTCTGCTTTCGTATAACTTCGCTCTGTGATTGTTTAGAATACTCGTTGGCAATTCATTAGCAATTTCCCTCGCTGTCTTCCATTCAATTCACATGATGTTAGTTCANGTTGGGACACACAAGATTAAAACTACAGAAAAGCAATCTGAGAGGTGCATGGTTTTCTAAGTTCAAATGTTCTAGGAAACGTTGATTGGCTCTCACCAGCTGCTTCCGTAGGTTGATTACCAACAACCCCTACAGTTCGTCCATTCATTCGTCCAAAACCAACCACAATGTTTTTAGCGTAATCAGGCGAGATCTCAAAGAATTCACCGTCATCTACAATCTGAGGAAAGAAAAGTGATATTCAGTTGAAGGAAGTCTGGGGGCTGCTCTGCTTTCGTATAATTTCGCTCCGTGAAGGTGTAGTCTGATCGTCCGGGTGAGTGTTAAGTCCTGAGAAGGACTGTTGTCGGTGGCAGTGACTGACGTTTCGACAACCTGTGCGGAAGTCATCATCAGAGTCTTCGCTCTGTGATTGTTTAGAATACTCGTTGGCAATTCATTAGCAATTTCCCTCGCTGTCTTCCATTCAATTCACATGATGTTAGTTCAGAGGATTTCACTTGGTATTGGCTCAACTAATAATCCCCTTATTGACATTTTTCTTTATTCTCTTCCCTTGTCTGCTTGATATTGTATTGATTTAGTAAGGAGAAATTCTTTCTTAGTCACAAATAATGTCAATAATGTTCTACTTTCCGCCACTCACCGGATAAATCACATCTAATATATCTTAGGCCTTGATGGAGTCAAATGGTACAAGAGTATCCAAGTTAGGGATTATTCTGTCACTGAATGTAAGAAAGTTAAACATGACTCACCGCAAATTCGTAACTGTGATCCAGCTTCATACGGACAAAGAACACTCATTAATAGCTAGTGATATTTTCCTTTACTTTGAATTGGTTAAGGTTTAAGAGCAAAACCCTAGCCCTAAAACATTCATCGCTTGGTCGCTCAGTTTGCATGTGTTTTCTATGAGTTTTCATTGACTTACGATGATTTTAACCTTTATTCTGATTAGTTGCGGTGATAACTTTGGTGTTAATGTGTTTCAACGCTCAAATGAAAACTACTCTTCGACACTAACTCGAAAGTGCTCAATTGACGGGACCATGGAACTTGCTTGCACGAACACATTGTGTTAAAAACAAATGATTTCCTCTTGAAAAATTACCAGCTATGCTTTCATAACGATGCCACGGCACTGCTATGCTGAGGGGGGTGGGGGGGTATTGACTTACCATGGGTCGTCTGATTCTCGGATTGGAGACGGGTTCTTGTTACTGAGAGGAAGAAAGTCAAAGAAATCTCTTATCCTGCAAAGAGATATGGAATAAACCATGACCTTAAGCTAAGAGCCAGAGCTTTTCCCACACCCTTTAGCAAAAACTTTAGTGAATACTTGTGTTGCTCCCCCTCTTCCTACCCGGATCAGATCTCCCTTAGACAGGGGTTTCAAAACAAGCTGGCCACCGCCGTAGTTCCACCAGCTATTTGATTTGAACGCGTCGCCGGTTACTCTAGTCAAAATAATTACTTTTTGGCCCTTAAATGAACTTTTCACAGTCACCTATTTTTGAAGAGTCTGGCGCCTACTTCAAAACATTTTCAAACCCTTGCTTAGAGATAGCAGACAGAGTGATAATTCAGTGCCTTGCCCATAAAAAAAAAATACAAATATCTAGTTGTGGGTTTCAACCGCAACTCTTCTAACAAGGTCACTGCATCTCCCACTACAAAAGAATTGTTGAAAATGGAGAATGCTGCTATCGTTACAATATTGAAAATAACAAGTGTATTTTTTATTTGGTCAATAACGTTTACATTATGGCACTATGAATGTCAAAATTGCAAAGTTAAACAAACGGAAAAGGTAGATTCAAAGTTTGACGAAGTTTTGACGACGATTTTGATGGATTTAACGAAATTTGTCAATCTGTGGATATTCTGTCAAAAGTGATGATTCTGACGAAATTTCGTCGGGGTTGATGACGAATTTATAAAAGTGATTAGATACGACCTGGCTAGAAGGACCCCAAAAAGTTGAAGAATTTGGCGAAAACGACGAATTTGGCGTGAGTGAAGTCTGCAAGTTTCATTACTTAGTGCATTTCTGGATAGAAGTGCGTTGACACTGCACATAATGCTTAGTCAGTAGATACAATTTGTGTCAAATACTTACGTAGCCAATGCTTCCACATCATTTTCAAATGCCCCACAAGCAACCCCTGAGGAAAAAATTAGAGTAGTTCAATCTTTGCAGATCAGTACAATCGCAAAACAGCTTGAAAAATATTCATTCAAGTTATTAATCTACGGTAACCTTCACCATAGTAAAAAAATCCTGTGTTTGTGTTTTTGCTTTCCTTTGTCATTAGAGTTTGTCATTCCTGTCCAGTAATTTAGTGTATCAAAGTGTTATTCTATTTCAAGAGAATACTTCAAAACACTAAAATTGGCTCAAACCATTCTAAACTAACTCTGTTGTCTTGCTTTTCAAGCAAAACACGGTTTGCTCTGTGCAACTTTGGTAAAACTGGCAGTGGAAGTTTAATCTGCTCACTAGTGTCCTCCTCACATTTGTATCTAATAACTATTTGAACCCTAAGATAGACTAGCATCTAATTTCCCCTTATAGTTTCATCCCTGAATCACACATTAAGGTCACCAAAATAAAGAAAATGATCACTAAAATAGAAGCTCTTAGCTGTCAAACAAATTCTCGTTGTCAGCACCTTAGGAAATGTATAGAGAACAGTGTGGAGAATATGCAGACTGATGACATATTTACCTGATACAGAGGTGTGAGTGAGTTTTAGCCCCTCCTAGTTCCTCTTGAGTGACATCTTCTTGTGTGACCGTCTTGTTTCCAAAAGGAAAACACACAAAAGAAATGCAAAACAATTAAGGTTAGATCTTACAATCCTAGCCGCCCTTTTCTGTCAAAAATGATCCTGAAGTCCAGAACCCTTTAGCCTCTTAGTGTGACTAACATGTAATTACTCCTAACTATGTCACCCATGAATTAAGCCTTAAGGTCATAAGAATAAAGGGAAAGATCAAAAACTAAATAAGCTCTTGATTGTTAAACAAATTCTCCTTGTCAGCACCTTAGGAAATGTATAGAGGACAGTATGGAGAGTACGCATACTGATGTTAGGGTGAAAAGGGTCAGTTAACAAAAAAAGACTTGGAATATAGCCATTCTCTCTCTCCCCCCCTCCCCCATAAACCCAACTGCGAATTTCCCTCAAGTTATCCTATCAGTTTTCCAATGCTCAAATCCACCCTAGAGTAGAGAGAGAGAGACAGACATGGTGAAATGACCCTTGCCAGAACCCTTAGGATAGGCTGCCTCCCCCTCCCACCCAAGAACAACATACAATGACTCTGGCCAGAATGAGACCTTAGACTTTCCAATCCACAGTTCACTGACCAGTGGACCACCTAGTTCAAAACAAAGGATAAATACCACAACACTATCATTACTAATTGTATTTATTTTCTTGCAATAATAACGACAATTTAAGAGCTATCCAGCTACCACTACACAAGATATCATTATTAATCATTATTATTAGTGATCTTTTGCACAAATGAACTCAGTATGAACCATTAGTTTACCTTCACTACCTCTGGACCAGTAATGAACAGATATGATGTGTCCTGCAAAGCAGAGGCAGAAATTTTGATATTGTTAGTCAGCTTTTTTAAACTTTCGACATCAAAAATTAATATTATGAGTGTATGATCTGAAGGCTACAATCTAGACAGACTATCACGTCAGTAAAGAGAAACCATCATTTGGGCGTCAAAATGTGCAAGCAAATAAAAGCAAACTCTACACATGCTAGAACCAAGTTTCTGACACTACCATCAGAAAAACTATGAAGAGCATCAATTGGTGTGTAGTCTGTCTTTTTAAGAGACTGAAGGCAGCAAGTCCACATTTAAGAATGAGTCCACCATGTTTTAGGTAGTGGCAAATTTGCATGAAACAGTCTCATACTAGCTCTCTATGGCTCAGTGGTGCTGCATTAGACTGTTAATTAAATCTGCAGGTCTAGAGTTTAATTCCTTGTGCCAAACTCATAATTATTTTCTGTCCTTCAATTGGTCTTTCTATGATAACTGAACTGGACAATTACTATCTTTCTTATTCTATTGTACATTGTAATATAATTATTAATTTTATAATGGTTTCTTGTTTGAAGGTGAGTGATAATCTGATAATTTTCTGCATCAGACTCTGAAATCTGCAGGCTGGTCTAGATTTGAATTCTTTGTGCTGAACCCATATTTTTTGTTCTTTAACTGGTCTTTCTGTGACAACTGAGTTAGACATTTACCATCTTTCTCATTCTATCGGTATTTTACATTGCAACATTATTATTGATGATGGGTTCTCATTTGAAGGTGTGTGACAATCTGATATAATGGTATAGCATATATACCTTGACCATAAAAGTGAAATCAGTGATGGCTGGAGAATACACAGCCCCTCCTGCACAGGGTCCCATGACAAGTGAGATCTGTGGAATAACCCCTGAAGCCATCACGTTACGCTGGAAAATATCAGCATAACCAGCCAAGGACTCGACACCTTCCTGAATACGAGCACCACCCGAGTCATTTAAACCAATCACAGGTGCACCAACAAGCATGGCCTTGTCCATCACCTGTGTAAAGGAAAGAAGTGATTTGTAACTTGTGTTTCTGGAAAGAAGAATTCAAAATTAAAATGGAACAGGTATTGTACTATAATTTTCTCGGGTAACTTTTTGAACATTAAGACCTAGGATCATAGATGTCTGATTGTCCAAGTAAGGGTAGTACCGAGATGGACTGTTATTGGCAGCGGTAGTTGATGTTTGGACAGCCTGAATGGAATTCATCATGAGAGTCAGTTGAGGAGTGTTTGCTAATGGAGTGTTTTAAGTCCATTTTGTGTAAAGTGATTAGTCAGTTAAGCCATGATATTATTGGCTGAGACTGGAGTGGTGTAAATTGGTTAATATGTTTGGTCAGTTTTGATTCTTCTGTACTGTTGAGTTGTTCTGTTTGGTTTGTTTTTGCTGTAATTGTTGTGAATACATAATTTGAATGGTGCACATAGTTGTTAGCACCTTTTATCGGGAGTCTTAATACTACAGTGGAACCTCAATTTAACAAAGTGCCAAGGGACTCGGGGGAAACTGGTTCGTTGTATCAAAGCATATATCTTACTGTAACTTTCGTTGAGCTGAAACTGAAGTATTGTTCTTTATACATGTATTGAAGACTTTGTTATGTAGAGGTTCGTTAAATCGAGGTTCCACAGTAACTTGGTAAACTTAACAGACCATTAAATTTGCTCAAACCCTTTTATAACAATTGACATTTTGATTATGACTTTCACTCATGATGACAAAATGTCAATCACCACTATAATAACAACAGTCCTTCCCTGAACTTAACCCTCACTCAGACAACCTGGAAATTATATGATGAATCATTATCCCTGGGTTCAAGTTAACCCTTTCTTGTATTTGATCCTAAAAGCTAATTATAATTTGAGACTACAAAGGAATTATATATTCATTTGATAGCTCCTATTTGTAGGTTCACTTTGAGTTGTGGTCAAAATGATGCCATGCCCTACCTTACAGATTTTTTTAGCATGAGCACTGGATAAGCTACCACCAAATACAGTGAAATCCTGCAATGCAACTGCATTATGTTAGATAAAATTGTATTTTATATCATATCTGATAAAATGTCATTTAAACAACAATATTCACAATTTTTAAGTACATAACTCCATTCTGTGCAAAATAATGGACTTAAAAGCGTACTAGTTTTTAACCTTCAATTCCTTCGTCCTTACCTGGCCAATCTAGTCCAATTTTATCTATGAAAGCTTTTAATACAGTCATGCAGAAATGAACAACCAAAAAAAATATTTATTGAAACTTATAGTAACCTGAAAACTCATTACCTGACTGAAGACAAAGCAAACACGTCCATTGATTGTTCCTTGTCCGGTGACTACACTGTCACCAGTGAACTAAAATTAAATGACAACATTAAAGTTATGCAATGAAAATAATGATATTCTAACTTTCAGTTCTTGTCCTAGCTGACCAACATCACTGCTTAAAAATAGAAAGATAATAAAATTTACAAGCTTGCCAACTTAGAAATATGGCATTGTCCATACTGCAGCTACAATACATATACATGCATACATACATACTTCATTTAACGTGGAAATACGCTTAGCTTAAGAGCTAGTTTACAGGTATAATCCACCTAATACATAATAAAAACCTAACAAGTAACAATGCTAATATCACAGCGGGTAAAATCACAAATTAAATACTGATGAAAAGCTATTTAAAACTGTTATTACAAGATTAGCGCTGCAATCAAAATACTATTAAAACTAACGTTACAAATCTACTAATCCCCGAAATTTAACGATCTAATTCTGTTTACTATTTCTTTGGTGCCCGCTTTTATTCTAATTATGTATTCACCAGGTTGGAAGTTCATACAGGGAAAAACTGTGCCTTTTAGGTCTTGGATACACCCCGAGGGCAACATTTGAGACAGACAATTCCAGAAATCACAGAATTTCTAGAATACTGCCCACTCATGAACTGAGAAAAAAAAATAAAAGGAAATAGCTGTACTTGGCCAGTTCATGTTCCCCTAGTTAGGTTGTATTCAACTACAATGCTTACATCCTTTTTAAAATCGTTCCATCATCTTTTTCCCAGTCTCTATATGATAAGATTTATTTTGATTCATTTGGTAACTTTGACTCACAGTAACTAGAACCTTTTCCACTTTCCCTTGAAGGTTCAATTTATGGGGAGTCAATGGTAAAACAAAAAATAAAACCAGAATTAAAACTTACCTTTTGATTTTCCATTCCAAATTCAGTGCAGTTGTGTTCCATAAACATGTCATATTCAACAAAGGATTCTGGGTCACACAACAGCTTGACTCTCTCCCTTGCTGTAAGTTTTCCCTTCGAAAAATGCAAAATTTAAAAGTCATATATCTTCTAACGTCTTCCTATAGGGGGTTTCATTAAGGTCTGAGCCCTGGGCAAATCGATTGGTTAAGGATGGTTTTTCTCACCTGGTTTGACCATCTGGAGGAAAGGTTATCTTATAAAGAAGATCAGTTCAAAAAGTTTTGCCTGCCTGTGAAAACCAGTTGCCCTCTGGCTGAAAATATTAATGAGAACTCTCAATAAAGGAAAGAGGACCTTTAAAAGTGGAACAGGACATGTCCAAGGAATAGATACCTGCTAAAAAGCTTCAGTGATCCCTCACCTTAAATATTGACAAAGAGGAGAGTCACTTTATACGAGGGCTGACTTTGTTTTTAAGCCAGGTAGAGGAAATCCTGTGCTTTCATTGCATGGCTCCAAAGCCAATCTCTTCTTTGCAGGATTGAATTTCCTTATATGTCCAAAAAAATTATTGAATATTTGTCTTTGAAAAAATGATCTTTCAAGGATAAATTCTAAGTTCATGGAACAAGCCTGTTAAGTTGAGAGAGTTTGCCTCAGTCTTTTTTGCAAATTTTTATGGACCTCTACTTTCTGACCACACACAGTTGTCTTCCTTGACCATATACATGGCTCACTAGAGATACATCACACACATCAGTTAAATGATAAGAGCAGAAACGAGATTCGTCAAATATTTCGCCAGAAAAAAACATCTTACCTAAAAAATAGATAACTTGAGGGAGTGGGAGGGGGGTTGCTAATAATTTAGAAGGCAAATTTGTGAAAGTCTAGCGTTCCCTCTTAATCACAGCAAACTACCTTTCCAGACCTTGATCTTGTAAAAATCAAAACTCAGCAAACACAGAGAGAGAAATCTGCTGCAGACAGTTGTCTTACTTTTCGATGTTGAGCGTCAATCCTCTTCTGTCCCCCGCCAACACTGGCCTCTTCCTTTTTCTGCTCAATCCGTTGAAGAACGCTTGCCGAACAAGCTCGAATAAAAACAGTTTTTTTACTAAAATGGGCTCCATTTGTAACAGAAGTCTTGGTGATAAATCCCGAAGAAACGGGGCAAAAATACTTCAGCAATCCACCAGCCCTGTAGGCCGTGAACATAGCCATGTTTCCCGACAGGATGCGCGATGTGTTGTTCTCAAATGACTAGGATAGGGTAAGTGTGCTCCTGGCATGTAAGAAAAAAAAAAACCAGCTTTGCTTTCGGCCCTCCAGTTTTGAGAACTGCTGTTCTTTTAAATGACTAGAGTACCTGAAGTATATTTTTCCTTCTAAAATCGTGAAATTTGTTTATGTTTAAAGAAAATAATCACAAATTCAGAACAAAATTAATTAATAAATTCTGAGGCACCCCTCTCACACAAACATCGACGCACGTGCGACTGGACACGAAGAGGGGCATGCAGAGATATGGCAGATACCACTGAACAATAGAACTGCGGCTCGACTATGAAATTAAAAATACACTCGAGCGAAATCAACTGGAAATCAATTGTTTTAACAATTTACGTGGTTGGATCGTTCGAACGGCTGCTGGCTCCGTTCAAAAGTAAGGAATGAACGCTACAACGCTCTATGTTGAAGCGTGCAGATGCATGTTGTCGCTTGAAAATGACGACCAAATTGTTTGGGATCAAATGTTCCATTTGCTACCGAAGCTTCGCCAAGCCCTTTCATGTCGAGTCTGCCGCGGTTTACTGATCGACCCGTACGGATCTCACAGCTGTGAACACCATGTCTGCAAAGGATGTCTACGAAAAAAACGGGCTTTGACACCTGGGTGTCGATGGTGCACAAACTTAGAAAAGCTAATGGAAGATAAACAGGCAAGAATTCTCTTAGCCTGCTATCAACAGCTTTGCGAATACGTCGCTCACAAGGCGGTTGGTGCACAAAGACTTTCGACGCAAAATGGCGAGTATAACAAGACTTTGGCGATCATTAAAGAGGCGGCGACAAGTCCGATCTCGCTCGAAAATTTTCAGAGTCAACAGCAACAGGCACTGGTACCCGCAAACACCTCGGAGTCAAATTCCAAAATTTCCCCCTCTACGAGCGGGAATTTTAACATGGCGACCGAGTCACGTGTCACACCAGTCAAACTTCCGCCGGAAATAGAACTGCTCCCTTCAAAAAGAGTGACGAAGTTGTTGTCTTTTCCAACAGGAAGTGACAGTCAGAAAGAAAAGAAAAGAAAGAGGAAACCTTTCAAAGGAAGTTATTACAACTATGGGAAGAAGAAAAAGACTGTCAGGCTCAGCACAAATGCAACGCATTCTTTTTGTGGTTTAGGAAGTGAGAAAAATATTTCCACAGATTTTACTTCTCTAGATTCTAAAACTGGAACTTTGCCACAAAAAGTTACAATGGAAGAAGACGAATGTGAAGAGATTCAAGTTGTTGATAATGTTGATCCTGAACCAATGTCTAAGATTGAACAAAAACAAACTGTAGTGGTGACTCCACCTGGAAAACACAGAAAGTACAAAGGAAAAGTAAAGAGGTGTTCTTGTGGTATGTCGTCCAAGCTTCAAAGCCCCAGGTGTGTCACCACGCGCTGCCCTTGTTTCAGTGATGAAGGTTCATGCGAACTCTGCCCTTGTTTAAATTGTGGTAATCCCTTTAACAACAACAACAATAACAATAAAATGTCGCTAGAGAGAAAATATAAGCTGAAGTTGGTAGATGAAAAGAGCCTACTGACACCAGCAGAATAACTGATCATAAAAGAATTTGGAGATGGGGTATCATGCCTGTTTGAGGATAGGAAACAGAGCAAAAGCATTGAGTTAAAACCTTGGTCATTGCAGTACTATTAGTAGGTATTTTCAAACCAAGTTGGCTTTAGGACGCAATATGGAAGCTGAAAAGCAAAGTCCTTTCTTATTGGATTATGCAGATTTTGGTTGGTTTGATTTAAATGAATGTTGAGAAAATGTAATTTTTGAATTGAAGAAAAAAAGGATTTTAATTTTAAGAAAATTACACAGCTTTGTCAAACCTCAGATGCATAATCATCTGAAATTATAAAAAATTTTCAAAGTCTTTTTTCTCCATTTATTTGGATTAGCACTGACTCAAATTCTTATTTTCTCTTTTACCAAAAGGTACCTTCTTTTGGTTTGCATTTAGACTTCAGCAACCATTTTGGTGTCAGTTTCACTCCCAAAAGTTAATGCCATGTGATATCTTCTCATTGTTCCAATACATTATATAGCCAAAGGGTGTTATTATGATGCAACTTCAAATTCTCCTCACTCCTGTTTTGAAAAATATATAGCAGGTAGAGAGGAGAATATTTGACCATTCCTATGGAGTTTTATGGATGTAATAAATAGATGTTTTCTTGTTAAATATTGGTTCTAATTTCACAAGTTCTTTCTGTTTTTCATAGGTGACCTCTTACAGACATTGAACAGATTAGCCATTGTACATAGATGTAACCTTCTGTATTTATTTATTGTTATCTAAACATTGTTTTGTTATTTACACTTAGCAGCCCGTACCATATATCAGTAACAGTATAACAGAACTTATAAGCAAGCTTTCTTTGTGGGACTGTAATCTTGTTCGTGCAGTTTTAAAGTAAATAATATAACTTTTCGTGGTAGGGTGTTAGTCTGCATTCATACATGCCCATGTACTTCTATTTACAGTGATACTATCAGCAGCCCCTTCTTTTTTTTGGCAAAGTCCATTGTGTAAGTCAACAAAAGTCACAGAAAAAAAAAAAGATGGAAGTAAGACTTTTTCATGCAACTCACTCCCAGAGTTCCACACTGCAAGCTGACATCAATTTTTTAAATATTTTTTTACTTGCACAACAGACTTTGCTAAATAGGAGGGAATCTTGATAATTTGGTTAATAGTTGTTAAACATCAAGTAATATATTGGTGGAAGTCGAGGAATTGTTTAAGCATATCTCATGTAGAGCAATAAAGGTTGCTGTTGGAGAACTTTTTTGTATTTTAGTTTTAGAATTCTGTCAATTTTTTTTCATATGGAAATTGCATATTTACTTCTTTCTTTTTCGTGTTGTTGTTTTATGCAGCTCGGAAGTATCCTCAGACACTGGTTATATGTCTTGTAAAGGGAAGGGAAAATCAGTTTGAGTTTGAGTTAACTGATAATAAATGAGTGGAATATTTCTTACAGTGTTCTTGAAACAACATTTTTATATAAAACAGTAGATCTGTGCTTTTATCAGTCAGTCTGTTTTCGTGACCTTTGAATTATCCAGATCTGCAAACCCACATAAATGTTTTAAATGAACAATCAAACTTTCTTCTACCCTTTCTGCTAAGCTTGCTATTTTGCATCTTGTTAGCCTTGTGCTGTACAGTCTCTCTTTTTGTCCCCATTGAGTTTTAGGCCAGCAACTTACCTATGCCCACCAGCTCGAGAGTGGAGGAAAATCTTTCATTTTTACCTTTTTTGTTTTAAGCAGGACACTGTCTTTACCAGGATTATAAACTAGACTGATAAAAATAATACTTTAGAAAAACCCCCAAACAGGTTAATTTCTCTTTCCCCTGCCCTGTTCTAACTTCAACCCCTAGTCTTCTACCCAGAGCTTCCATTTTAGTTACAGACAGTCAGTAACTTGGTTATCATGACAAATCTTCTAACTGACCACAAGTGGTCTACTAATCGGGGACAGTTATAATTACACTAAAATCTAAAAATCGCACTAAGATATTCAGTACAGGTGTATGATGAGTGGTCAACCATGAAACAGGTCTGTAGGGATGAATATTAGTTGATTGATTTTTTTCTGCTTATCACACGTTATACTCGCTCTACTACATGTATCGAGCACTGTTTTACGGGTACCAAGTTGAACCCTTCTAACAGGTGTATAAATATATAGATTACGATGAAATTTTTACAATAAGTTAAATTGCCTATACTTGTGACTAAAATTAATTGGTACTTGACAATTTTAATAAAATAACAATTAAGCTCCTGCCAACCACAAAGGTGACAGTTTATGCAGCCGTCATTAGTAATTAATAATGTAGCCGGATTGTCCCTCGTGATATTTGCTTGAAATGTTGATAAGGGAGTTATGGCCCTGTTCGTACTCGATCGTTTTGACCAAAGGAACAGACCAAAGGAACGGCCCAAAGTATCTAAGCGAGCGCTTCTCAAATTTTTACAGAATTTACACTATGAATAAAAAAGTCAGTTACACGGTAAGATTCCCTCCTATTTGAAGGAGAACATGCGTTTGGAAGAGATACTGGAGAAAAGACATGACAGTGTAGGGGTTGGAAAGAAAAATGAAAAACATGAACATCTAATTAAATATAGTGAAACCTTCCGTTACTTAACCACCTGAAATGTCAAATGTACGTGGTTGCTGGCGGAAGATGGTCGCTTACCAGAGGTCAGGGCCATAGGGGGTCCAATTTTCGGGTACTTGATTAATTTGTTATTCCAAGTGGTCCTGTCCAAATTCTTCCGGGAACGGAAGCAAGCAAAAATTCACACGGTACTAAGCTATTTCGGGAGACACTTTCAGTGGCACCACTTTTACGACATTTGTTGAAAATTTTTCAGTTTACGCCCGAGATCCATCTTTTTCCCAGGGCCCCACCCTAACTGAGGAAAAGGCCTTGGGAACGTACGAGGTTGTTGAGGGATAAAAAGCCGATCGTCTGTCAAGGGTCGCTTACGGGAGGTTCAAAACAAATGAAAAAGGTGGTCGCCATCGAGAAGTGGTCGCAAAAGGAGCTTCGAATGTAGTCATTAATCTACCTCGTGTTGAAAGAACAAACACGAAAGGAAAAAAAGAAAAAAACCAAACAACCTTATTGCTTTACTTTGGAAAAGGGCTTTGAATTTGGTTTTGCAAAAGGTTCCTACCAGAGAACCTTTAGGAAACCATCTTTGCAAGTCAAACCAAAGTGAAGGGGCCAGGCTGTTGTTGATGAAGGAGGGTGGAAAATAAAAAACGCACAAAAAGAACGCACAGGTACAGAAGGATACAGAACTAACAGAAGCGTGTACGGGGACTGGTAATGACGACGTTAATTTATTCTGACGACCGCTGATCAATATTCTGTTTGTTCATTATCAACCGCGCTTATTCGATTTTTCGATTTTTTCCTCGTTATATGTGAAATATGGAAAATATGGCGTAAAGTCCGAGAAACGAGCACTGTTGCCATCCTCTCTGTGTACCTTGATATGATTTCAAGACAAAACAGGCCTCAGGCAAGCTGAATCTTCGTAGATGTGATTTTAAATTGTTTGTGTAAGGTACTTTCGAGACGTGTTTGTTATCTACAACTCGGTCAACGACAGTTCAACACGGAAATTTGTGCATTCTTGTGGCTTACGCTTACGTTGTGGACAACAATTAGATTGTGGAAAAGGTATTTTAAATCATTGTTTCGAATTTCTTTGCGGACTCAAACGACGATGGAAGAAAGTGATCCATTCTTCAGATAAATGTCGAGTCGGCAGTTTGCATACATTGATCTAAAGTAACGCTGGCCGCCGATTCATGGCGCATCTCTCTCCGATTTTGAAAGCGAAGGTCGACGAACTGTTTCTCAGATGGTTGTCTACGCCCGAGACTCAACGAGTTCTGAGAAATGACTTGAACAAGTTAATACAAGGCCGACCCTTGTCGCCAAGGCAATTGTCAAGTTCTGGTTCGACAAATGCAATAGGCGGCGCTTGTAGGCCCATTTCGCCCCCGGCTCCGCCAACCAGCTCTCCGAATCAATTATTGCGGTCGCCACGAAGCCCTCGAGAACGATCTTCGCGAAGACCAGGGTCTAAATCGCCTCCGCGTTCTCCCAGGTTAGAGAACAATGAAGGGACGAGGTATCCGATGAAGGATAAACATTTCATCTTCAATAATGTGAGAATCTTCTCAGGGTGCGCGGCGCACTTGCCGCAGTTTCATTTCCCGCTTGGGAAGCCAGAAGATTCTCCATCATGTGAAATTACGTTGTCCAAGGTCGCTCAGATATTCAAACTATACGAAAGCGGTATTCCCAAAGAGGACTTTGGATCTGTGGCCAAGGTATTTTTACTTTCCTGTGTGTTTTTGACTACTTTCTTCAGTTAAGTTCAATATGGAACTTGAAACCGAGTTTTTGTAGCGTGACTATTGTTTATAAGTTAGCTGCAGCGATTACTGTTAAACGAGGAAGCCAGTCTGTGACCTCTCAAAAAAGCACGATACTTATGCACGCACGATGAAAAATTCAACGATTCCACCTTAGCTAGTCTTGTGTTGTGGGTTTTTTGTACCGATGGTCTGGAATTCTTCCGAGATACAAAGCAGAGTTAGATTTCGACAAAATTTTTTCCCTAATGGAAACTTATGCGTGAACTCAGTCAGGCGTTGTTGTTTTCATGTATTACGGTCACGTTCAGCCAAATTTTTCAAACCGACATTTAAATAGACACTTTCTTTTGACGTTTGCCCAGAAAAATACAGCTTATAGGTGACGGAAATGGCTTAAGGTTATTCAAACAATCATTTAAATCTGTCTTAAAAGTTTGTTTGTCTACTCTACTCGCCTGAAAGCAAACGATCACCTATTTTCTAGACAATCTCTTGAACCTGTCGAACGATCAATATGTCACTTGGAGGAAGGAGGCACTTGAAAAATAAAAGCAGGCCGCTGAAAAGGTTTATTTTAGTATTTGCCCTGTAATCGGGCCTGTGTGACATGTCAAGTAAAATTTTGAAGTAGTCCGAAAACTCGCGTGGGCTTCTATTGTTACGCAACGTTCGGTTTCGAAGCATGTTATTTCATTTTCGTTGTTCACGCGCAGTGGTCCCGATTAAGCTTCATTCTTATCACTGGGAAAGGTTTAAGAGAAAACTCTTTGTAAAATGACCAGATGAAGACTCTATTTAAATTCAAACCATTTTAACGATGGCTTAGAAAACCCGTTAGTTAAACCGATTTATAGACAGCTTTAGTGTATAATTCAATTTCAGATTGGAAAAAGGTTATCTCCCTTTGTTCGTGCAAAGTTCAAATTATCGAACGACCTATTTTTAGAACGCTGTTTATACTTAAAACAATTTTTCTGGCAACCTGGAGTCAACATAATCTTGCATATGTTTTGACAGACGCGAATTAGTTTCGATGGAAGTCAGAAAAAGCGCGTAGATGTCTCCTAAAGGTAGCCAAAGGCTTCTGTTGAAACGGTAGCCAAAAAGTGAAGGGATAATTTGCATACTATAGAACTTTTGAGTGTGCTCTAAACACAACTCTCTTCAATATTAATATCTTAAAACAGGTGAAGAATCAGAAATGATACGATCCAAAATAATATGTAGGTTTGTCGTTTTTAAAACTTCTTAAGTGCGAGGGCTTGCTTTCAAGGTTCATAAAAGACCTACAGACTGGCCAACATTTAGCACTTTACAACAAAAGAATTACGCTCTTTGAAAGTTTAAAAATATTTTCCCCCCAAGAATTCTGGTGAATTCTATGTTTTTAGTCTCAAAACAGAGAAAAAAATCTTTCTTTTACCCCTTTACATTTACAATCATAGTTGTTTGTTTATGAAAGATGTTACTCCCTCATTATGCAGTTGGGATTATGTGTAATTTCCCGTTTTTTTGCAATGACGGTTTTACTGGGTTTTCTAGAATTTAGCAAATGGCCATGTGGATTGAAGACTGATGTTCAAGTGATGAGGCATCACAAATGCAAAATTAGCATTTTCATTTGAAGTGAAATAAGCATGCCAATTATTTGCACTTCCCCACAAAAGTTGTATTTTTTTCGAAAGCTCATGCACAGATTTTGGACATGATAATTTAAATAATTCAGAATCTATAATTTTGACCATTCAATGGAATGGGAGTTTAATCTTTTTCGCTGAGACAATTTACAAGATAAGTTTAATATTTGACTATGCTAATCTAATCAACAACTTGTTTTTAATTTGAGGGTGATCTGCACACATCACTTACAAAAAGCTGGTAGGAATGTCAACACTTTGTTACTTATCAATCATTTTATTCTTCAAAGTAGCGCTTCTGAGCAAGCCTTTTTACCAAACATGCTACTCTCAAAAAGTAATGGAAAACTCAAAAATCCCGGACACAATTTCTTAGTTCAATTTGTGCAGATCACATTCTGCTGAAAAGCAAAAGGAGGAGATCAAACTAATCTTGTAAAATGTCTAGGCTTGAAAGAATAAGCTCCCATTTAAAATAAGAAATTAAAGTAAATTAAATATTCCAAATCACTGTTTATTAAGCTTAGAGAAAAGTTGTATTTCTATAGGATGGTGTGCATAACTTTCATGCTATTACAGTTTAAATAAAAAGGCTAAGTATCCTCATGTGGTGCAACTCCCAGAAGTAATTAACAAGTAACTTCCACCTATAATACACATACATTATTTAGCAACAGGTAACGGGAATACTCAAACTTATTCGGTAGAAGTTTCGAAGACAAATCAGAAAAAGTAAAGACAATAAAAAGTTATACAAGTATACTAAACATTTCAGATCATTTGTGCTTAAGGCATCTGGCAGTCAAGTATCAGTGGATAGTATCAGTCAAAATATAGAATCAGTGTCAGTCAAACTTCGGCCAATACTCTGACTACCAACATTTGGACGGAATATCAGCTAATACTTGACTGACACTTGACCAACACTTCTGTCACTTGGTCAGTTTTTTTTAATGAGTTCTATCTCCTCTACTCAAAAAATACATTAATTTATTTTCTGTACCCCTTTTGAAATTCTTCTTTCTTGTACCTTGTTGTTATGGGGAAGAGGCATAGAAATGGCTGCCGTTCCAGCAAATGAACTGTTAACATTACTCAATGATATATAGAACTGACAGTCAATGGATTCATCAATGACACTTAACAGATCTGCTGCCAACTGTTGAATATGAGATAATGGTCGAGGTGTTGGCTGACTTACCAACCATGTAAGAACTGATCGCTGCTTTTCACTTGATGTCATCAAATTCAAAAATCCGAAAATATAGAGTCATGAAAATTTTATCTTCATCAGGCACATAAAGGGTCTTAATTCATATTTGTTTTCAAATGTAGCATGTTTGGTTTTGAAACCAGTGCAGTTTGATGTTCAGAGTTACAGTGGTTGCATGACATAAAGCTCTGATCATGTTTGTCAAAAAAATTAATAGAGACCTATCGGGGGATTTTTAGCCTTTTAAGGAAATGAAGTGTTAGAAAAAGTGTTTTTGTAGATATTTGTTGGTTTAGTGTAAATAATCAGTGGGCTAGATAGCCAAAGTAAGTTCCAGATGTTTTACACTATTTCAGGCTGCCATGTTTGTGGACAAAGATATCCACCAACATGATGGGGCTCTGTAAATTTTGCGCAAAACATTTCAATGAATATCTTAAGTTTGGGAAAAATAAGAGACCTAAAACTTGGAGAGGTGCTTCCTCAACCTATGTCCTATAACACGGCAATTTCTGAGCCTTATCCACTAAATTTCTTTCTCTTGATGCATAACAGTGAAAATGATCAATTATAATGTGGACTGACAGTCCACCAACTTGACTAACATGGTAACTGACCGTCAGCTGACCACCAGCCATTATTTCACCTAAGTATCGACTTTATAGCATCATTACCCATTTGGCAGACATGCTTTCAGCACACAAGGTCCAACATTTCTTGTGAAGTGCTTATACTAAGTTTTCTGGCTATCTTTATTTATTTCTTAGGCTTGTGGTTTACCGCTCTACTGGCGCGAACCTCTGTTTTCCGCAGCAGGAGGATATAAACATGGCTACGTTACATTACAAATGTTTAATGTCATGTGGAAAAGGTACTTAAAACTTGATTAGATTAGTTATATTATTGCAAAATGATTGTATTAATATCAGAGCTTCGGGTCAAAAACAAGAAAGTAAAACTAGCAAAAGCTGTGGAGTCAAGCCTAGTTGCATTTTCTCTCAAGAATTCTAGATTAAAAATGAGAAATGCTGCTGACAGAACTAATCATTAGGCTTTGTAGCCAGTGTTGGTAGAAAGCTGATTTTGATTGAATACTGGAAATAATTTAATCATTACTATTAGTGTCTATTTAATTTTATTTTTTTGCAGTCTGACATCTAATTATCATGATGATGCATCAAGATTTGTTCGACTTTTGAGTGCGAAAAACTCCCTTAATTATTTGGTTTCAGAAGACTTTATTCCCCTCCTGCAGGTAAAATATACTCCAGCATAACTGTACCATAGGGTAATTAAATCTCTCACTTAGCATGTGCAGTGCGGTGATTGGTCAATTTAGCAGGCCGTATTTTATTGTACAGCCTGCTGAATAAAAAAGTTTGAGTGGATTGGAGTCTTCCCTTCTGAACTCAGAGATATGACAAATATCTTGGTTACTAACTTTGCCCTGCACTTTGGTAATAAATCCAAGCAATAAGAAAAAAAAAGGTCTGTAACTTACAGTACAGACCTTGCACTCAGTTGATAAGAGGTATTTTTTGATTAACATAATAATGAAAAGGGAATGTTTTAATCATGATTTAATTTCTTGACTTTTCTAAGAAGGTGATTGTTCTATCAGGGCTCGACACTAAGTTTTCAACTTACTAGCCAAGTGCTTTGCCGTAGGCTTGTTACATCTTGAATTTTACGACAATTTCAGTTTGTTTACTTGCCAAACTGGCTAGTGGAAATTGAAATCCACTTGCCAAAACTGAGTTTCTACTAGTCTGTGACTAGTGGACTACCGTTAGTGTCAAGCCCTGTCTATACACAATGAATACAAAACTTGAAGACTGCAGCTTACAACCTTTGCAACCTATCCAATGCAAAACTTGAAACCACGTGTGACTTGATGACTCACATCTCCCTGTCATTTACACTTTCCGACGCTAAGACTTGCCATGTGCTGTTCAGCTTTAATTTCCAAAGGTCACAGATTGGAGATCAATGTTCATGAAATTGTCACCCAAAGTAAAATTTCAGTTACCAAAAGAGAAAGTTTCTTTAAGAGTTGGCAGATTGGGATAATTTTATATTCTACCTTTAGGACATTGTGCAAACACATCCTGGTTTGGAGTTTCTCCGAGACGCTCCTGATTTTCACTCCAGATACATCCATACTGTAAGTATATTTGAAAAAGCTAGAAATATAAGCTTATGCCTATGAGGAAAATAGGCTCTTTTACGTGAGCCACAAAACTAGCCAAAGCAATGATTAATTTCAATCCTTACTCATTTTTTATGAAGGTCTTGTTAGTTTGTTACACAGGCTTATGCATTTTTGATGAATTGTGGCTTTACTGGTATTTACTGGTATTTTTTGCAAATTTTCTGTGCGTTTTTTAGATGTTCTCGCTGATAAGCCACACCCTTGATTTGCTATGAACATTTCTCTGAAAGACGGTGGAATAATTTATTGGTCAACAGAGTTGGACACTAACTTTTCAACTTACTAGCCAAGTGGCTTGGGACATTGTAGATGTTATGACCATTTCAATTTGTTTACTGGCCCAACTGGCTTGTGGAAATCGCAAACCATCAGCCAAAGCTGAAGTTTCATTTTTCTGTGGCTAGTTGGCTACTGTTCGTATTGAGCCCTAGCCCATAGGGTTTTTTTTTTTTTATTTTTTTACAGTAAAATATTAAAATGCAAAGTTTTAAAGATGTCTGTTGGCTTCAAACATTTTCTTACTTAGAGATTGTTATGGGGACCCTGATACCTACCAGAGTTGAAAATTTGTTTGGAAACTCGAGTATGTGAACCAAGCATGATGTTGATTTTTTCACTTTTTTTTTCCTCAGGTCCTAGCCAGAATATTTTATTGTGTAAATAGTTCATGGACAGGACGCATTACAGTTCCAGAACTGCGGAATAGCAATTTTTTAGAAGTAAGTCAAACTCTAACTCTTTATCTCCCAAGACCTGATTCTTAATTCTTTTAATTAATTAATGTATCAATTAATTTAGAATTAATTAACTGATTAATTTTTGTTGATTTCTTAAGAGAGTTCTCTTTTCCCCCTTTTTTGTCAATTCTCCCCTCTAAGTCTGACACATTTCCTTCTAAATTAGTTCATTAGATTTTGGTGGTGGATCAAGGTCTATAACAACTTCTACCTGATAAATTTGAGTTTTCTCATGACCTATTTGCTGTATAATGTATAAGCATCATAGGGAGGAGTTAAATGTTAACCCATTAATGGCCGCAGCTTTTGTTGAAAACTGTGTTTTGAAGCTAGTCGAGCAGATTTCAGGTCACTGTTGTGGTTTTAAAAGCTCAAACTTACCAAAAACCCCTTGACAGCTTGTACACTCAACGGTCTTTCGATCCAAATGCAAAATGGCAGCCTGAAAATCTCTGGCACGCGCAGAAAGCAAATTTTCGAGATAGTTTTTGGGTTGAAAAGTAATGCCCCACTTACGACTTTTACTTTTCTCTCTTTCTCCTGCCCTTTTTTTCCCCTCTCCTTGCCTGAAGTTTCTCCTCACTTGCTGGAAATTTAGTAGGCTTCATTTTGGTGTAGAGATTTTTTACAGAAACTACTCATTATTTTCAAACCACATGCTCAGAAAGGTAGGTGGGTAATGGAACAAGATTTTCATCCAGATTTTCAGGTCAAAGTTACATGGTTTTCTGGCTATTTCTCCAATCTCCTTCACTCAATTGCGCTCATTCTGGTATCGTTTGTAAGATATTTTCAACCTGTTCAAGTACATGCTCAAATTCGTGCTCCAGGTTTAAAAGTGAGACGTCACAAGGCGTAGAAAGGGTGTGGGTCCCCATGGGCGCATACGGGCGCACTGGACGTCAATAGGTTAATCACATCTGGGGAGTCAAAGGGTTAAAGATGTTGTCCTTTGGTTGGCATGACTGTGAGATGCATTTATTTTTAGGAACTTTAGAAGACACTACATGTGTGTAACATATGACAGAATATGTCAGGGCTCGACACTAACAGTAGCCAACTAGCCACGGACTGGTAGAATTTAAGTTTTAGCCAGTGGTTTTTTATTTCCCCTAGCCAGTTTGGCTAATAAGCAAACTGAAATTGTTATAAAAAGTTGTCACTGGCTACTTGGCTAGTAGGTTGAAAAGTTAGTGTCGAGCCCTGTTAGTCAAAGCAAAATGATACAAACAACTACTCATTCCTTTGTTACACAATAAAGAAAATCTGATGATTTTTTTTTTCTCCCACACCAGGTTTTAGCCCGACTTGAAGAAGAAGAGGACATAAATGAGGTAAAGAAACACTGCAAATTATAAATTTGGAAAACAGCAGACAGCAAAAGAATGCCTAATTTTCTCTGTGATTCTACCCATGTATCAGAAACAGAAAAACCTCTTTGTTTCCCTTACCAGTGAAACCACCAATTAAAGGCAATAATGATAGATTGAAATGATTTTTAGTCCTCCCAGTGAAACTGGAATGAAGATATTTTTGGTTTTATGTAGGTTCAGGTATGTATTATTAAGGTGACAGTTTGGAATCAGAATCTTAGAATGTACTTGTCACTGTTTTAATGGTTTGTACCTCATTGTCTTTCAGATCTTGGACTATTTTTCTTATGAACATTTTTATGTAATTTATTGTAAATTCTGGGAGCTGGATACGGACCATGATCTGCTGATCGATGAAAAAGACCTGATGAGACATAACAACCATGGTATGTGATGCTTATAATGCAACAATCAGTTTAAAACTTTACACCCCCACTGTGACCAATGGGCATTTGACAATGACAGTTGTTTGTCCCCAGGGGGTGGGGAGTAGAAAATTTTTTGAACCTTGCTTGGCTGGGGTAGGGAAATTGAAACAGCGAAATACACTTTTTAATTTAAAATAATAGAGGAGATTAAAGGTGAAGAGTTGGCTTTCGTGAGTCATCATGGCTGAGAAGAAAATGTTCACATTGTAGAATGATGTTTATCAGCCAAAAACCAAACAGTGGAACCAAAAACTTGTACCAGTACCTAACTGTGCTAAGTGCTTCAATATTTGTTGATTGCGCAAAGAACGGTTCTATAAACAATTGTGCTTGGGTGGGGTATTTGAACACAATTTGTGCAAGGTACTTTTTATATGTTATTGAAAAATGTATCATTCAATTTATTCTCATTGTTTATTATTTTCTCTTTTGCCTTTAGCATTATCATCCAAAATATTGAAAAGACTCTTCTCTGGGTGTGTCACACGGTAGGGATAAAATAAATCTTGTRATAGAGCACTTTCATAAATGGCTGCCAGATTAATATTCTTTTGTTTAAATTTAAATTAGCCTTTCTGGCCTCGTTCTCCAGTACAAAATTCAAAAGAATACATTATCTCAAGCGAGGCCAGAAAGGCTAATTTAAATTTAAACAAAAGAATATTAATCCGGCAGCCATTTATGAAAGTGGTCAATAGAAATTATTACTTTTTAAAATGATTTCCTTGAAATTAATCTAGAAATCATTGCTGTAGGTCGTCTTTAGTGGTTTTACAGTGAAGAAAACAAAGACAAGTTTAAGATACTGCATAGTTTAAACAAGTAAATAGGAATTACTGGCACTTGTGCTTAAAAATGTATGTAGAGTCAAAATTGAATAGATGGTGTTTTGGTGAAGGAGGTCCAACTGTAAAAAGTAGTCTACTTAGTTTTCAGCACAACAGCACTTTGATTTGCTGTAATATGCCTTTTGTTGTGCTGATGTAGGGGTGCCTCTTACATGGAGGGCAAGATGACTTATCCAGAATTCGTTTGGTTTCTTCTTTCTGAAGAGGACAAGAAACATCCAAGAAGGTGAGTAAATGTGCCTTTCATTTTTGTCTGTTTACAATAATTAAGCAGGCAGTAAGAAGCTGAAAAAATTGAAGCACCTTGTCAGGTGAAGGTTAGTGAAAATTTGCCTCTTCGTGAAAACAAACGTGAACACTCATTGTGCCTTTGTTGGCCACAATAGGCTATTCTGGACCTTCCTCTTTTAGTATCACCTTCCTGTCTGAAAGAGGGTATAGGAAAACATGTGGCAAAAGAAAGTGAAAACATCTCTCGGGGGTAGGGAGGGTGGTATGATGTGGAGGAAGGTTTCAGTCATTTCCTTCTGGATGACCCCGTTAGGAAGGAAGCCATTTATAAGCGGGTGAAGAGGTTTGGAGTGTTTGTCATTTGCTTCCTTTTCCTTCCACAGTATTGAGTACTGGTTCCGCTGTATGGATTTAGATGGAGACGGTGTACTGTCCATGTACGAATTGGAGTATTTTTATACCGAACAAATAACCAAAATGGATGTTCTTGGCATAGAGACGATGCTGTTTGAAGACTGTCTTTGTCAGGTTTGTCAATGTATATTAACAGAATTAAGTGGTAGTATCCATTTGCAGCTGCTATGCGAGTTTTTTGTCAATCTGAACAATTACTAGAAAATTCATGGAACAAGGGAATGGGCTTTTCATCTTTTTGTAAAGGATCTAAATTAAAAATTTGGCGCAGGTCGAAGTCCCCACTGCAGTTTTTCCAGAACTGGGAAAATGTTAGAGTACATGTAACTAGAATTGGGCAATGCTTGATAGATGGGATGACAGTAACCGTATGGGGATGGTAAATGTGGCAGAACTGATAACGATGGTGATGAAATTTGAGGATAACTATAACAGCTAAGTTTATTTATTTCCAGTCATTGCATATAACGTTTTATTTCCTTGTCTTCTCTCTCAGATGTTAGACATGGTAAATCCTAAATCTCCAGGTATGATCCTTGTCTTAAAATACCAAAAACAACTTCAAAATAACGCTATTGCTACTGTCTGTCAAAGGCAATACTCGTCTATGAAATTTAACTGTTTGTAAAAGCTTTTTGCACTTTTTACAAAATAGGATTATATAATTTTTTTTTTCCCTACAGGATGCGTAACGCTGAGTGACTTGAAGAATTGCAAACTGGCCTACATTTTCTTCAACACATTCTTCAATTTGGATAAATATTTAGAATTTGAACAGAGGGATCCGTTTGCTGCAGCTAGGGTAGGAATCCTTTCTCAATTACTCTTTGAGTCATACAGTTAAGAAATATCGATCTCACACGATTGCAAGGGAAATTTCGGCTAGAAGAGAGGGACGCTTACTAAAAGGAGGGCGCATTATAGAGGCGCTTATTATTTTCCTGTAATGATTCCAATGTAGTTGAAGTTAAAAAAGTTATAATTAAAGTAGAGGAGGAGAGGGGCGCTTGTTTGCAATTATGGTCTTGGGGGTGGGCGCTTGTTAGAGCGCAGGCGCTTATTACAGCATGTGCGCCTATTAGAGCGTGGGCCCTTATTAGAGCCTGGGCGCCTATTAGAGCGAGGGCGCTTATTAGAGCGTGGGCCCTTATTAGAGCCTGGGCACCTATTAGAGCGAGGGCGCTTATTAGAGCCTGGGCGCCTATTAGAGCGAGGGCGCTTATTAGAGCGTGGGCGCCTATTAGAGCGAGGGCGCTTATTGGAGCGTGGGCGCTTATTAGAGCCTGGGCGCCTATTAGAGCGAGGGCGCTTATTAGAGCGGGGGCGCTCATTAGAGCGTGGACGCTCATTAGAGCGTGGATGCCTATTACGGCGTTGGCGCTTCTCAGAGCGTGGAAACTTAGTAAAGCGTGGGCGCTTCTCACAGCGTAGAAATATGGTGATTATTTAACGATGTTTTGAAAACTAATTTATTTGTTTATTAATTCAATCAAACAATCAATCAGTTTCTCAGTTACAACATGGCACTTAATTATTAGGATTTACAAGAAGGCGATTGTAACGAACGGTCCGACTGGGAGAGGTATGCTCAAGAAGAATACGACTTGCTGGTGGCTGAAGAAGGAGCCAATGAACAAACAGAAGGGTAAGGCCACGTGACTTAAACCCGCTAGACATTTGTGAGCATTTGGCACGGTTGCATGGTAACTACGTCCAGGTTTAAGCCATGGTTGCTATCAGTCAGAAAAACGGCCAAATACAACAGGAAAAAACAACAAAGTCAAAACCCCCTCGATGCTAGAGAATAGCTGAAAATTCAATTTTGAACCATGGAAAAATTGAAATTTGTAGGAAAAAAAGAAAATTTTTTGTTGAAAATTATGCTTTTTTTTTTTCTAATTAGTTGGCACTTTTTTTTGCAGTTTATACGAGGATGACTTCGACGAAGATGAAGACCTGGCTGAAGGAGATATCATGGCGCTGAAAGGACTCGAAAATGATGACGAACTTGGTATTGGAAACAATAACAAGAATAAACCCTGGATAATGGTCACTGGAATAGATGATGACGTAGATGATGATGATGATGATGATGACGACGATGACTTTTATTGAGTAAACTACGTTTGCAAAGAAAGAGTCTGACATGTAGAGTGGTTCTCTCGAACCAAGGTAGAAACTGCCCCGAAGTATTTCACTAAGAGAGTCCCAGAGGCATGATTTGCTCAGAATGGGGACTAAATTCAATCCCTCGTAAATAACTAGTAGGCAGTTGGTAAACGAAGAAGGAAGTACCCCAACGCTTGTTCCAGTTAAAATCATGATAACATTTTGTTCGTTAACAAAATAGGAGAGTTAGTAAGTGAAAGGGCCCATAAAGGTACACTGCCGTGACAGCAGAACGTGACCCTTAAAGTTGTCACCATCAGCTCAGTGTCCAGGGCCATAGAGCCGTTCCCTCTCCGATCAACTTTCTTGCTCTCCTAGAGTGTAAGGTTCTATTTTAGTATTCGATGGTATTGTTTAGAGGTTTATTATCGTAAATGCTCTAAAAATTGTTCGGCATAGATAAAGGGGAAATTTTGTGGGCGCGGTTGCGTCACCAGAATTCATAGATCTTTTTGTACCAAGGAGAAAATAATAAAAAAAATTAGTAATCGATGTTAAGAAATTTGCGAGGAATGTTCTTTGAACTTAGATAACTTCTTCAAACCCACTCAACTGTTACAGTGGAACCTCGATTTAACGAAGCTCTATATAACGAAGTCCTCAGTACAATGAACCTTACTTCAGTTTCAGCCCGCCTAAACTCAACCTCGTTCCCAGGGCTTTTCCCTTTTTTGAATATTTTAGCGGGTGGGAAAAGGTTATAGGAGGGAAACTATTCTTATTAAAAGCTATTTGAAGATTTCCAAACACGTGCGAAACACCTAGTTGCGCCGCCATGTTTAGAGTGATGATAATTTATTACACCCAGAATTTCAGGGATCAGCCTATGCCAGGGCCTTTTCCCGCCCGCTAAAATATTCAAAAAGAGAAAAGCCCTGGGAGCGAGGTTAGGTTAAACTTACAGTAAAATGTATGCCACAGAACCTTGATCAAACGAACCCTCGATATAACGAAACAATATCCCCAGTCCCTTGGTACCTCGTTCAATCGAGGTTCTACTGTAGTAGCTAACGCCTCCGCATTACAGTATTTCACTTTCCTTTTAAAAGAAGTTGCTAACTTTCATTTAGGTGACGTCTGCGAGGAAAACCACGGCTTTGAATTCAAGACTTCATCGGTTTCTGAAATTGTGTCTAAACTTATAGGCCCTTGAAAACATACGAGCCTTTGTCCACAAAAGAAACTTTAGCTTCCAGATAACCTCAAAGGTATCCCTCAGGACCCATACCGTTCTATTAAAAAAAAATAGGATAGGAAGTAGTGAACCTTAGCTACAGAAAAAAAAAAAGTCCTCCTGTTCCCTACCCCCTCAGATATTGTTGTCAAGATTGTAATTCTCTTCCCCCCCCCCTCATTCTTCAACCACATCGTTAGATGAACAAATAACATGTGAACGTTTCGTTCATCTGTCGAATTTAATTTTTATTTATAAAACATTTGAATGTGATATTTCCCAAACCTTTACAGGTTACCGTGTATGCTTTGACAACCAACATGCCATTATTTACACTTCTCACGAAGAAATAAATGAAAAAGTAAACGTTTTTGCTTCAAATTAAATGTAAAAATTAAGTAAGGACTGAAAAATATCAAACCGAAATTAATTTCAATGTATGATGGTGAGTGATAAGGAGATATCAAACCAAGGAATGATTTGTCTTAAATATTCTCTGTATGCCATTAAAAAACATGTAAGGCGTAGATTGATGAAAACTGATACATGGAAGCTAGAGACAAGAAAACGTTTGAAGAAATACAAGAATTCCCAGATAAAGTTTGAAGAGTAAACAGGTAAAATCGAGTATAACCGAGAGTAAATTGTACGGTAGAGATTTGAATAGGATGTCGAATTAGGATTGTTAGAGTAGTTTTGCAAAACTATGGTCAACTTGAAAAAGAGACGGCTTAACTGTGTAATACGATAGCAAAACACAAAATAAGCAATAACGAACGAAAAAGGTACAAAGATTGCCAAAAATGAAAAAGATTCAAACGGATTTCAGACGAAGTTAAACCCTGAAACCTAGCCTTAATGCGAGGATAATTGTTTTTGGATGAACAAATCGTGACGTGACTGTGAAATCAGCGGACTGATGTCAGTTTCTGAGCAGCTACGCACCCACTCATTTAACCAAGAGTCAACTGATAACAAGTCAGGGTTGATGATGGGTTAGGGGAGGGGTGGGTACGAAGTTGTTCAGATACTGATCTTTATCCTTATCACATCCATTTTGAAATCACTGGTGGTCCCTGTAATCCGATTGGCTCTAATTGGTGCGATTTGTTCACGAATCACACCATTTTTTGCTCTAAATTGCATCATTTTACGCTTGACTGAGTTTTTGACACATGATGTCAGTCTTTCTGTTTTGCATACAAAATAAGATGTAAAAAGCGTTTCCGGTTCCGCTTTTTGTTTCAAAACCGGCTCAGTACTGCATCATAAAATATTTGAATTGACCAAGTCCTGTATTTGGGCGATTTCAAAATGGATGTAATAAAGTGGCAATTGAACCTCGTGTCGTGCAATTTTGGTCTGAAATCATACTTGTGATTTCAAATCGAACTCGCGCTGCGCGTTCGTTCGATTTTGAAATCACGCGTATGATTTCAGCCCAAATTGCACTCCACTCAGTTCAATTACCAGTATAAATCAGCTCTGAAATGATAATAACAACTTAGTAATTTATGAGATCAAAAAGTGATAAATATATAGAGAGCGTTTATGATAGCTCTCATTGGTTAACTGACGATATATTTTAAACATGTTTACATACTTTGATAATTTTGACAACATTCATTGAATAGCGCTATCTACTGCGAGGATCGTACATCATATGTATTCATTGATACTATGGCCCTGCTTCGCAACCGATGTTTGGTTTGTCACATAACACGGTTTCTCGCTGAGGTATTGCGTGACGCAACCAAACAATGGCCGCAGAGGTTATTGATAATACTGTCGTTTTTACATGGTCTGATGTTCATCGAGAGAATTTCTTTCCTTCGACTGTTGAGTAGGAAGGAAAAGAATAAATTTTCTGAAAATATGTAAGCGAAAGCGATTGGTAAAGCCATCTCAAACAAACCTCAAGCATTAATAAATGAAAGCTGTTCTTGAAAAATAATGGTAACGATGTTTTGAAATGGATAAAAATGAGAGATATATACACATTTTGGCTTGTTAAAAATTATTTGAAAGATCACTGCTTACACCACGGCCAACTGTATCAGTTCAGTAAGATGCTCAGACTTACACGGCCTTGCGTGACAAAAATTGTTTCGCGTAACAAACTGCATTTTGCATAACCATGCGTGACAAAATCACCTAATATAGCCCAGTCCCCTTAAATAAGAAATATAACGTTTACCTGGAACGTCTTAACAAATAACTGAAACTTGTATGTATGTATTTCCGTTTCTTATCCTACTGATTAACATCCCTCTTTGAATTTCACGTACTTTCAAATTCTTGTCGTTCAAAAAGACAGCAACTGTACTAAGACAATGACGGCGAGTTAAACGACCCTCAATATCTTTGCCCTTAAAAAACCCTAACATTTCCCAACAAAACTGTACTGAAAAGTGCCTTAGACTTCACACGCGGCATTTCCGAGGTTGAATATGGCCCCGCATGAGATTAAACTTTGTAACAAAATGGTAGAGTCTAAATGAGCAGACAGGCAATCGTCAAATGGCCAAAACATTCCCCACAAGGCATTGATGGAAAATTTATGCCGCCATCTTTTTTCTCACGGTTAACTCTGTGTCGTTGCAGAAGCTATTTCGAATATAGGAACATGAACAAAATAAAGACATGCTAATATTTGTGGTCGTCCATTCACATCGGTGAACCTGCCTGTGTGGTTGCTTTAATTGAGAATTTTCAAAATCTCTTTTAAAGTAGAGCCGTGTAAAACGTTTTAATCCAAACAGGATTAAGTCACGGGGATATTTTCTTTAGTTAGGACGATTCTAGCTGCATTATGAATGGATGCTGGGATAAAAATTTTCGCTTTTCTCACAAGTGTATGTTATTAAATTGTGAAACCACACTTAAATTGCTTGACTTTACAAACTCTGTCCTGCTGCATTGCCTTGACCGGGATAATACCCGTACCCCTCTGGATAAGTCCACTGGTTTCCCGCAACGTTACCTTCCTCCGTTCTGTTTCCGTAGAAGTTTGCATTAATTGAGTTACCCGAAGGATAGGGGGGCGGTGGTTGTTGAGGAGTAGCAGGGAAAAACTTAGAATCCGGGAAATTTCCGCTTTGTTGTGGTACCACATAATTATTCTGCATGTTAGAATTCCCTTGAAATTGTTGGTTATAGTTACCGTACTGACTTGAGTCCGTAAACCTGGCCGGAGAGGGGTAGGGTGGCGGTAAAGTCTGGTTGCCTGGGGGACTTTTGACGGGAGAAGGCGTCCCTCCAGAAGTAGAATAGTTATACATGTTACTGTAGTTGTTCTGGCCTGACCAAAACGAGCCCGAGATATTCTGCGTTGGACTTTTCAGAGCACCAAAACCTCCTCCGACGCCATTTGCTGTCGCGTTACTTCCACCAAAATTTGGTCCTCTGAAGTTGGCATTCATGGCAGTCCCTACGTTGTTGAGCCCTCTTGCGTAAGCCTCACCGAAATTCGTTCCAGACGTACTTTGCCCCCTTAAATTTGGGCCCGGGTAGTTCGCGTTTGAACCTGAAAAAACAGGTACTACTGGATTGGGACCCGACATATTAGGTCCTCCCAAATTTGTCATTATGTTTGGAGTTCTAACTCCCTGGGTACCTGGAAAAGAGGGTCCACCTGGTGACATCCCTGGTACATGACCAGGAGAAATGTTTCTAATTCCCGTGCTGTTTCCTGCGAAGTTGTTTCCAGTGAGGGTTGGCGTTCCTAAAGTGACATTTCCGAAATTGGGGTCAACATAATTCGGGGCCTGTTTGGTGGGGAACTGTGGCTTAAATATTTCGAAGTTTGGAGGGTTGGGAAATATGCCTTCTGGGGGGTAGCTGAGGGGATTCCTGTGATTGCTCACGTCGGGAACAGGCTGGGTACGAGCAACCGGCGCCACAGATGCAATCCTTGAGTGTGGGTGGATCTTGTTGCCGTGGAGCGCATGAGAAGGTGGAATATTAACAGCCCCAGCTACAACTTCGCTCCCTGAGCTAGCAACGTTTATTTTTGCTGCCTCCCCTCCGTTTACACTCGTTTTTAGAAGCTCATTGTCCGACTTCTTGTCGTCTTCTCGGTTTTCTTTCGATTTTGAGGCTCCAGGTTTGTCTTTTGAGCTCTCCTCATTGTCACGTTCGTCACCTTTCTCACGTTCGGATCTAATCGAATCCTCAGCGTCTTTGCTATCATTATCATCATCGTCTTCATCAATAATCTTTCGTGTCCTTCGAAGCCGAGTAGAACCCTCGGACTTCCCCCGAACATCGTCATCCGAGTTGGCTTCGTACTCGTATCCGCTCGTCGGAGACTCCGAACCGCTTTCGTAATCAAGATCCATCAGTCGACGGGATCTACGGGTATTCCGCTGATGTAACCGCACAAGATTTCCTGACTCGTAAGCCGGTTTGGAGAACAACAAATGTTTTTCCTCTCCATTAACTTCCTCTCCTTTGAATCTCTTTTTGTCGTGCTCGACGGCCGATGTGATATCGTCCTCGAAGTCTTTAAAAGTATAGTCGACGTTTTTTCTTGAGCGACCAGACCGTCTGATTCCTTGGTCTTCTTCGTCATCTGATGTTCGCTACGATAGTGTAAAGTAAAACAAAATATAAACAAATACTAATAACCCAGTACAAGTCCGTAACGTAAAGAACGAAGAAAAATAGAGATTTAACACCGCGTTTACGTGAAATGTAAACGGCAAGAGTGACCACGTGACCTTGTTTTCCTGCCATTTTTTCACGTTTGCCGGTTGTGCTTTGCCGTTTCTACGTGAAATTAACCTGTTTCGCGTTTGCCGTGTACGTAAGAATTTTCGCCACTTTTTCTCTCACAGAGTAAAAGTTAATTGGCGGAAAAGATGCACCGAAACTATTCCTTGTAAGTAATACAAGGGCACTTTCAAATGCACCATGACGTGAGCTCACGCAAAGCTAAAGCAGCAAGGTTCACGCTATTTCACGCCGGACGTGAAAGGACAAGCTGACGTTTGTCGTGTCACGTAAACGCAGTGCTATATCTCTCTAATATTCAGTGACTAACGTGAGTGAAAATTCACAACTGTGTTTGAACTCAAATTTTAAGTAAAAGGATTTTTCACCATTTATTTCCCTGGTCACTATTTATCGCGTGGGAGCGGAGGGGATAAAGGGAGATGAGGGGGACGAGGGGGAGAGGGGTGGGGGCGGTGTCTGAAATATTTGGTCTGACTGATCTCCTCTGTTCCCCGTAAAAACCATGTGATCCCCAAAAGGCGATAAATAATGACTGTAACCTAACATAAGAGAGTACCGTGGCAATAGAATACAACCTGCAAAGTTGACCGAACAAAGCACAGAGGAAGTAAGAAAAATAATTTACCAATCAATATATAAAGAATAAAAATGATTCTTTTTAAAAGTGTAATACATTGTATCGAATAAAAGCATAAATAAGGAGTGGGAAACGTTGCAAAAATAATCTTAAATTAAGAGACGAAAGAAAACAGCAAGTGAAAATAAAAGCCTGCGAAAATTTTTTCGGAACATGAATAAAGTGTCCTAAATGTTTCTATTTCCCTGTTTTTGGCCTTTAAAAATACGGAAGGCGAAAGGTGGCAACTCATCACAAAATAATGGACTGTACCCATATCATACATTATGTTAACATAGCTATGACGCCTCTAAGAATTGTTTTCGCCAGACTTAAAATAAATCTCCTCTACGAAAAAACGACAAAGACAAAATATAAACAAACAAAATTAACAAATACGTTAATAAACATGTAAACAAAAAGATAATTTAGAGAATAAGAAAAAATCTATATAGTACCTGTAAGATGTTGTTCAGGTCAATACCTGCAAAACCCAACCTGAAAAGTACAACAAAAAAATCCTGCTTAACCATGGGGTAAACTGCGCATGCGCACTAGACAGAGAACAAAGGCGCCCCTTATCGCCCTTGTTTAAAACGAAACGTGATGATGAAACGAGATATGGCACACTTGTGAACGGAAAATCATTTCTTTCCAATAATGAAGAGAAATCTTTTCAATTTTCCCCGACAACATTTACCACAATGATGGTAGACAACGACGAATTAAGAATGAGCAGCACTTCAACATTGGTTGATCAAAAAAGTAACAGCCTTTGATCTGCCACACACGACCACTGAATCGATAGTGGATCATGTGCCACTCAAACGGCTCAGAGCAACTCCAGTTTAATGAAACAGCTGTTCAATTAACATGGATAGTTGTGCCGACGACTGGAGACACAATTGCGAAGATGAAACGAATGTATGAACGTATAATCATAAACGTCGGCATTTGATTGGTTACGCGATTTGCTATCTATTCCGTGGTATACAGCCTGACAATGTGCGGTTGTAATTAAAATGAATAAATCGCACGCCTATCTAATTGTTAAGTCTCGAACTACCACAAGATCTAAAAAAAATTAGATTCTTCGCAGTCGATCTCGAAGGTTATCTCAAGTTCGTAATCTAAATGTTCAGCAGAGTGTAAAATGAGAATATCACAATGTTTGCAAATGTCTCGTCCGTCGGAAAGCGAAAACCATATCGTTACCGCTGAGATCCTAAGAGGCTTTGTTCAGTTTCATTACATAAATCTTTCGCAAATCTCGTCCATATGGTGGCCTAATTGTCATCATATCATAAACACACTAATTGCCCACCAATCGCCCCATACACGACAAATCGTTGCAGCCTGCAATGAGAAAAAAAAAGGCACACCTAGACAGATAATCGCACAGGGATACTGGGAACAAAACAAAATAACGACAACTGATTCAAAGTTAAATATTTCTAAATTCATTTATTTCAAAATAACATAATTGGGCTTAATAAAAATCTACAGAGTAGAAAGATAAAAAATAGTTCAATACTCATACAATACAAACGCATTTCCCTTTTTTAATTTACCTCTTAAATATCTATAGTATTAACCATACTTTTAACCACTCTTTTTAAAAGTGCAGGTATGTTTGCCTTGTATATATTCAGTTTTCAGGTATCCAATTTTCCTTTATGAAGAGGGCAAATTTGCAGAAATCGTTGGCATAAAATAATCTTATTTATTAATCCGCTTCTAAATCCATGCTTTACTGGTTTAGGTTCCTATGTACGTTCGGGACCCCACTCACATTTAGGCCTCTTAGAGTTGATTTAGACTCAGAAATAACTTAAATTTTTTGTTCTTCTCTGTTTGAAACCGTAATTAAAATAACCCTTTGACCAATAAGTAAGATTAGCATCTAGTTTCTCCTTACAATGTCACCGCTCAAACAAACATCAAGGTCAAGTGACTAACGAGATGATCATCAACTTAAGAAGCTCTTGATTGTTAACCAAATTCTCCTTGTCAGCACCTTAGGAAATGTTTAGAGAACAGTATCGAGAATATGCACACTGATGTTAAGATGTAAAGGGTAAACTCTCAGTATGGCGCAGAATTCGCGCCTCCATCGACAATTAACGGACGCCGGTAAACTTAACTCTTCAATTGACGTTGGAAGGAAATCTGCAAGGTTGGATTACATTAACGAAATCCTGAGCATTAGAAGAAATTTGGCCTGCAGAACAAAAATGAATTCTCGTCTTAAAACCAGGCCGAAAATGACCTTCGCTAGCTGTAAACAACAAGGCACAGCAGTAAATTGAACGGTAAAATCGAGAGTCAATGGCTCTCTCAAACCAATCTTTAACGGCGTTCTTAAGATAAAGCTTCCCTAACGTCGCGCAAACCATAACCACGGAAAAAATTGTCCAAATTTTTATCACACTTTCCAACACGATTCTAATCATTCTTACGCTCAACGAAGTTCAACTGTTACTCTTCCAAGAAGGTCTGTCCCTTGTTACACCAAATTATCAAGGCGAGAATCATTTTTCAACCATTGTGACCACCAATTTGACGATCAGACAGGCAATGGGGCGAGCGACCGTCTTCCACCGATGTGGCCTGGGTTCGATTCTTGAACCTGACCTCCCACGTAGGTTGACTTTGCCGTTCGTTCTCGTCTTTGCTCTGTGAATTTTCTCCTGGATCCCCGGCAATATTCACTCTAGAAAAACTACAACTATGTACTCCAACTCGACCTGGAAACAGCATACGAGACAAGCCACTTTGTGGATACCCACGTCTCAGTAAAATCTATTTTTGGTATCCAATTCACGTGGTCGTAGTTAACTCCGTTTCACTGCAAATAACGACTAAGGAGGCTACATAGATTTCCTTTCAAAATATTAAATTTTCCACCGATGGGAGGGGCGCTTTGGAAACGATTTAGCGTTTTTCTAAGTGCAGTCTATTACAGCATTTTCTTGGTGCGCAGCTGAGTTTGATCGCGGTTACCATTGACGATTTGTTGAGGGAAGATGCAAAATACCCTCAGCCACCCCTCCCTCAACCTCAATCCTTTGAACCTTCTCGGGTAAATTTTCGACTCGCACACGGGCATCTTGTGAACGATGAAATCGTCTCGATTTAACTTTCCAAACACTTCATCGACTCGGAATGATCCTAAACACCTACGGAGTAACTCCCTTGAACAAAGTCTAATGTTACGTAAACAAAACGTCAATTAAAACAACAGCAACAACAATTATATCTCTGACAATTTAGTTGACCTAAGCTAGTTTTTGGAAAGAAGATATTGTTAAGAGTTAAGAGAAGTTGAGGACACTATCTTCCCTTTACTCGTTCTTCGTTCCCCTATTTGCTCGCTTTATCATTCACATTAAGGTTCTTTGGTTCATTCGTCCGTTCGTTCGCTCGTTCTTTGTTTGTTCGGTAAAAGCTCCGTTACTTCGTTTGTTCTTCGTTCGTGCGGTCGATCATTCGTTCATAGCTTCTTTGCTTCATTTGTTCGTTTGGTCTTCGTTCGCTTCATTATTTGTTCAGTGAATAGTAGGTTCATTCATTCGTTCGTTTGTTGGGGCGTTCGTACGCTCTTCGTTCGCTCGTTAATTTGTTCGAAGGTTTGTCGGTTCATTCGTTCGCTAGTTGGTTCGTTGGTTCGTTCTTTCGTTCATTTGTTCACTTATTCGTTCATTTGTTTTTACGTCCATTCGTTATAAATTACGCACAGTATACGAGCATTTGTGAACAGTGAAAAAAAAACAAACAAAAATTTCACCTTTTCGCTTGTCTCTGTCTTAACTTTAACCTGGCAGCTAACCGCGTTCTCTTCTCCTTTAAAATATCCAGCAATGCCAGCTGAAAACATAAAGTAAAGTTGCAAAAATCATACACTTCTCCGTTCTCACAAATCTTCGATGGAAATTTAATAACATTCCAAATTGATGACAGCAATTAAGTCAAAAGTCGCTTTCATTTCATGGGTTCTCAAGACAATCAAAAATGATTTCGTATTGTGACACAAAAACTTTTGTCGTTCCTCTTCAGGAGAAGTTATACCAAAGGTTAATTTGCGCGCGCTCATATTTGCGTTTGGCGTAACACAGCTAACCGTAGCGAGGTGTAAAATTGTCCACACAAGAAGTAAATTTGTGAGCCTCCCGGTTAGCTCAATGGATAGAGCGCTGGACTGTGGTGCGGGAGGCCGAGGGTTCGAGCCCCGGCCGGACTAACACTCAAGGTCTTAAAATAATTGAGAAGAATTTGCTACCTTTCTATAACATCAAGAAATGGTTAGATATTCTAGTCTTCTCGGATAGGGACGAATAAATGGAGGTCCCGTCTCCCGCAGGGTTGGGGCAGGAGACGTTAATTTCCCGCACACGAGATTACTGTGTGATGGATGTCCTCCCCTGGGGTGGGATGGGTGGGTTAGGACAGCAGGTCCACATCAGCTATTACAGCTGCCAATTAATCAACCTGCTTAAACAAATAAATGAACTTAAACTTGAACTTGAACTTGGTCATTCTATTTAGCAGGACGAGAAAACCGCCTACTCTTTCCCTCCCCCCTGAGAAAAGTTCACGATCCGCGTAGAAGTAGCCAGTTCACTTACTCCAGCTAGAGTGGGTAGGTTTTGTTAAGTCAGCGTTTATTGCGTGTATAAGCCACCTGAGACTATTACAATGGACCTTGGAGCAAGAAGGGAAGGTAGATGCTGCCAGATTGGGTGAAAAACGAAACGTTCTCTTCTGTTTAGGGATGAGAAGACACTAAAAAATAAAGTGCTTGCTTATGATTGTAGACCAGCAAAGCAAACCATATTGGCCTATGAAAGCCAAGAGAAATACAGAACAAGCCAATGAAGACTTGAATTTAACACACTGACTTCAACCGCGGGAAAATGTGAATGACCGAATCGTAATTGGTTCCCGCTCTACATTGCCTTGGTCCAAAAAATGGCGCGAAATTCTTAAACTTATCATTTAGTGTTGCAAAACAAGAGCAATGAAGTTTTTTACTGCAAGCTCTACCACGGCCGTTCTCTCAGAAAAGATGTTACAATCCAAAGGGCATCATCTATCATGGCCTTACGAAAAATGGACTTCACTTTTGAAGTTTACGCTACCTGTTGGCAGAAGGGGCAAAACCAGTCTCCCTGGGGCACCGTTAGCAGAGGTGGACGAAGGCAGGCAGTATGATACGCAGCATCACATTTGTCACACAATAAAATCTGTGAGAAAATAAAGCAGTAATGTCAGCAAATTAGTAACAAGCCTCTGGGTGAAGCAGCAACACTACGTACAGTCCTGTTTTTACGCGCTGTAAGAGGCACGGTGGTCGAGTGGTCTAGGTTCCAGCCCTGGCTGGGGACATTGTGTTGTGTTTAGGCACACACTTTACTCTGACAGTGCCACTCTCCATCCAGGTGTTTAAATGGTTACCAGCGAATTTAATGCTTGGGGTAACCCTGCGATGGACTTGCATCCCATCCAGGGGAAAGTAGAAATACCCCTTGTCGCTTCATGCTACGGAAACCGGGCTTACGTTCCTTGAACAAAAGTATCAGTAAAGTAAAGCTAATATCAACATACCGAATCTGGTCTGACATTTGAAAAACACCTTGCACAAGGATTGTCATCGTCGTAGTCTTCTTCTTGTATAGATTCTTTCTTTTTGCCTACAAATGAGAGCAAAAAGATAAAAAAAAGAAACGGTCATGTTGTGAAGAAACTAATAAAACATTTGTGAGAGGTTAACTACATGTATTTTAACTTATTATTTGGTTTATCAACGTTTCTATGGAATTCGATTTGTAATGTGTACTTTTGGTGGAACATGCACTTGGAATTGAACATGTTTCACTGGTGTGAAAATTCCTATGCTAAAGCATGATTTAATATGGAAGGTGTTCAGTATATTGAAAGTTTTTTTTTGTTTTTTTGTTTTTTTTCAATAAAATGATCTTACAATCAACTATAATACATATCAAACTCGTTCTGATAAAATACTGCGTTAACCTTGGAAATATGTGAAAAGTGTATCAACATGGCAAATCTGGCTAAGAAGGTAAAAAAAATTCTTATCAAATTTTCCCTGTCTTTTTTTTTTCCTTTCATTGTGCAATGCAGACAGTGGTATAAGAGGAGTCACTTTATCAGAGCTGGAATTGCAACTTTTTTTTTTTATCTTTTCCTATGTCGGAATCTCAGACCCAACATTCCAGGAAAAGTTTAACAGCACTAAGAACAACTCAAAAGCACAGATCTCAATAATTCATCAGTTTTATCAAAGATATTTCAGGGGTCATGATAAATATTTCAAACTAAACACACTTTTTCTTCCTCTCTTTTTTCCAGGACTTTTTATTTCCCCCTTCTTTTTCATCTCCTCCCTCTTTGCGAGGGCTATCTCTTTGGGATTAACAACAGACTTGGTTTCCAAATATTCCACAACAGAGGCTAATTCAGCAGTCTCTCTGAAAAACAATTGAACATCTGTCTTAATAAAAAAAAAAAAACCATATGTTTCAAGTTTGTCACAATGTTCCAGTTGGATACTCAACAATGGTAGATCCAGGAAGGAGGTCCAGGGGGTCCAGACCCCTTTTGCTTCAAACTTGTAGGAATTTTTATGACTTGTCAAATACCAAAATTCTTGCAAGCACATGATTTCTTGTTACTTGTAGTGTAAAAAGTGTAAGAAGACATTTATCTGCTATCTCTCTTAAATAGAGTTTGGATCCCCCCCCCTTAAAAATTCCAGAATACAACCCTGCTCACAATTTGATGACTTGACAAGTGAGAAGCACCTCATGCACGGCTAGAGTAATAAGTTTACCCTTAGTTGCAAAATTAAAACACTTCTAGCATCCTTCAACAATTAACAAAAAAATATCCCTAATAAACAATTATAAACTTCCTTCTTTCTTTTTTCTTCTTTTAAACCTAGATCCAAATCTGGCTTCACAGCTATGTACCTTATTAATTGTTGTGTATTAGAGCAAACTTTTGCTCTTTTGGAAGGAAACCTAACATTTCATAAGCATTGTGGTCTCATTTTAAGTCACTCCTCACTATACACATTGTTGCACTCAACTTACATTGAACAACCAGAGTTCACTTTAGTGAGTGAGAGGACCAAAAGAAAAGGTCTAACGTATCTTATCATACAGACACTTGTACTTCCCTGTACATTTTTAGCAGTGTGACAAATAAAATAAAAAGTAAAAGCATAATGCGATAGATGGTAACTTTAGAGGTGAGTGACCAAAATAGTAATATTTTAAGTGTATAAGTATTTGATGAAGAAAAATCTGATTCATTCCTTTACCTGGCTAACAATCTCCATGACTCACAGCTCACCTCATCTTCTTCTGTAGTGTACAACCTTAAGCCATTGGCACCATCCTACAACGTTGAAAAAACAAAATGCATCTCTCAAAACAGTAAATTATGTTTTGCTCACAATTCTGCACAGTTAACCAGTTCCAAACTAGATTACGATAGCCAATACCTTATTTAAAATGTGTTTGAAACATCAATTATTACTGAGCACTTCAAAAAGGATTAAAATGTACCACTAACAACCAAAGTGTAAGACCTTTTAAACCCTCTGTTAAATGCAAGATGTTTGTGGAGTGGTGAACAACCTTCTACACAACTATTTTGCCTACAAGTAATTTCTCCTTGGGATACCAACATGTCATCCAGCAGAATGGTAAGAGGCTGACAGAAGATAGTTTATCAAGTAAAGCTACTGATTTATAAAAACCCAAAACTCTCTGAAATAACCCTCTGACAAATAAAAGGCAGATAACACAAGGAACTGATATTGTAAACCATGTGTTAGGAAAAATCCAAATGATGCATAATGTCAGGAACATCACGTATGCTCAGAGAGAAGATAATGATTCATTCTTGATCATCGATATTGTGATATCAAGTCTGTGAAGTTGAAATACTGGTTTTCATCACTGCATACATGTTTGCATATTTGCCAAATGTCAATGTTATTGGACTACAAATAATAATAATAATAATAATAATAATAATAATAATAATAATAATAATAAAAAACCAACAACCACGAAAGAGCAAGATATTTTTCTCTATTTTGCTTGAATTGTGAAGTACTCAAAAGTGAAAGGACAGTTTTTCACAGGTCACATGTAAATGAAAAATTCCTTGTACAGAAAGACCAAGTTAAATTTGGCCTTGCCTTCAAATATTTCTGAGGAAAATAATGGTGCTTATTAGGGGGTCACTATATTCCTAATAATTATTTAACAATTATTCCACGAGCGCGCATTGGATATGAGATGATAGATAGCCAACGAGGCGCGTAGCACCGAGTTGGTTATAATCATCTCATATCCAACAAGCGCGGGTGGAATAATTGTTTTAATAAAAACACCCCAAAGATATTAGGCAAATCTTTATATTAGACAAATTTTTTAGCTCCCTTTTAATTTTAAGCTGATGCATACACTTACCATATTTGTAGATTATGGTATATTGGCTCATATACCATAATGGCTAAGCCAATAAAAAGTCTTGAATTGCATTATCCAATGATCCAGTTTTTAATAATAAGATATATAAATTTATACTTAGGTAAAGAACGAAGACAGATAGGAGAATTATTCCATATCCTTACACCCAACCTTGAAAAATAATTTTTCATATATTTTGTTCTTGAATATTTGAAATAAAGATTGCCAGCCGCTGAGGACCTTGTATAACAGTGGCGTTTTTCAGACGAATAACCGAATAACCTTGAAATGTCAGGTGTTAGATTGTTGACGAGATCATGTATAAAAGAACAGATTGTTTTGAAATAGATGAGATGAAGTGGAAGAATGTTTGACAGTTTGAAAAATATTGTGCGTAGAGCTCACTTTTGCAAAATAAACACCTTTTCCAAATTTGATTAGGCACTTCGGCCCCAGACTGCAACAGTAGACGAGTAAGGTTGAATGAGTCGATATATATTATGTTAAGCGATACAGTTTGTTGGAAAAAATGTCTCAATCTTGATAACATGCCTAAAGACTTGCTAATTTGAGAGGAAATAAATGAAATGTGTTGAGTCCAAGATAATTTTGAATCGATAAGGACACCAAGGTATTTTGTATGTTACTTGTAAAGGAATTTAGTGTATAGTCGAAGATATTTATGTTCATTCAACGATCAACACGTTTTTAACACGGTCTGAATATAACTGAGTTAGATTGTTTGAAAAAATAAGGAAAACTTAGTTTCTCAGAGGAGGTTTAGATATCATTTATGTACTGCAAGAACGGTAAGGGTCCTAAGACTGATCCTTGTGCTAATTAACAATTATACCACGAGCGCGCGTTGGATATGAGATGATAGATAGCCAACGAGGCGCGTAGCGCCGAGTTGGCTATAATCATCTCATATCCAACAAGCGCGAGTGGAATAATTGTTTTATTAAANCTCATGATACCAATAAATAAACCCATCTAGATCCCGTCCAATGGGCTGCATGCGCAATTCCTCAGCTTCAAATGTTTTGTTCACAGAGCTCTTGAGCTTCTCATTCTGATCAAACTGGCATTCCAGAAGTACCTGGAAGAAAACAGATTGAAGACATTTTTTATAAAATTCTCAAGACATGCTAAACAAAATGAATTGAGTTGAAGTCCCACACAGGCCCCACAGAAGAGCACCTTTTGGTGAAGTGGGCTCCCTGCTAAAATATTATTATTATCGCAGTACTGAACTTCTAGATACTGAGTTCACTAAAGCAGAAACATAGAGCATAACAACGTAGCCTATGTTCCTACCAGGAATATAACTTTCTATAATATACAACGTGCAAAAATGGTGGGAAACTAATAACACTAATTAAGACAGCTTGTGTTCCTTTAAAAACCTAATTTAAAAACGATGTCCTAACATTTGCTAGAAAGACTGACCACTGGTTACTATCAATTTCGCTGACTATTTACAATCTATCTTAAAGATCTATCTATCTATCTTAAAAAAATAAATAAATAAATAAAAAAAATAAAGTCAATTAGACAGCAACCTGGAATATCCAAGCAATGTGGAGCGTACTTGAATTATCATCATTATTATTATCATTATGCAGCAGTTTAAAACTTTTGTATGCTACCAGTATATACAATAAGAATAGTATGACGGGGTGCATGAGCGTAGCCTGTTAACTATAGTGAAATCAAAATCCATATACTGAAAAGAAAAAAAAAAAAAAACCTTTGAGAAATAAAAAAGATAAGCTATTTCGGGTATCCAAATCTAAAATAGTCATTATAAATTCTTTAAAAACCTATTACTTATTTCGGCTATGAAAGAGTTAATCAGTAACGATCACTTCCTAAGTTTCTAATAATCCACGGAATTTTTAAAGGCAAATTATTATTATTACTATTATTATCAGCAGTAAAAACTATCTGTATGCCATACAGTTAAGAGGAACACAGGGCGCCAAGGCTTAGCCTGTGCTCTGGCTAGTGATACTGGAAATAATAGGTAATATCTGATTAAAAAAAAAAGCTTAAAATATGTATGTGTTTATATAATAAACTAAACCAAATTACGCTAAAACACGCTAAATGTTCAAAGTTCTAGAGCAGGGGAAAAACCGAAGCACGGGTAATACGATGTCTGATGTATCGCAACCTTAAAAGTACGTGCAATGTTCGGTGTGACGGATAGGCATGCCCTTTGCATCTTCTTGAGGACATTTCTGCGACGCCTCCCAACTAACTCCTTCAACGCTACCTCCACTTCTGTCGACCAGCCCCCGAGTACGTCCACAATGATGCTGTACTGTGAAATCTCGTACCCAGGGTTCTTCTGCTTCATCTCCCATCTGAGTGGCGCGTATTTCATCGTCTTTTCTGATGTTTTCATTTGACAATTGCTCACCCAGGGGCAGCTCATCTCCATCACTATAACCTTCTTCTCCTGGCATTTACTATTCTCGCATCAATTCTGTTGGCCCTAAGATCTTGGTACTCTCCGTAGAGCGGGACATCTCAGAATGCTTGTGCATGTGCTCCCTCATATACCAGCTGTGGCTTAGTTAGTGACTGATTGTTTAACAGTTTGGTGATTATTATTATTATTATTATTATTATTATTATTATTATTATTATTATTATTATTATTATTATTATTATTAGACCTACAACAGACACCCTCTACTTC